GTTTAGTAAATGACTTCCGTTGATAAATGCGCAGCGCAAAATACAGGAAGTACCAGCTTCGTTCACTTTGATTTTGAGTTATCCACCCCTGTTACAGGTAACTGTTTAATTGATCTGGGTTTCATGTTTCTTGTCAGCTATCAAAAGAGACTGAAAGTACTTCAGCTTGTTCTTATTTAATATAAACTATACATTCATTTGGAAAATGACTTCAAATGAGACAATTTAATCTTTGGAGTGGGTCGCAAAATATAGTGGGTCGCAACAGACTATCGCTATCGCAATAGTTGTTTCTCCTTCATTAGTCAACCCTATTATTTCCCACTGCCTGTAATGCCCGTGTTTTGTTTGATATGGATTTTATATATTGATCAAGCGACACATTTCAACCAGAGGTAGGCTTATGTGGTTTAATAAATATAAAGGATTAGGTTGGATAAACTGTTTAAAAAATCATGAAACGGAAAAATTTGACTACATTTTATTTAGGAAACTACTGTTACAATGATACTACCGAAGTTGGCAAAGGATTAGTCTTGATAATATAGTGAGTGAGTGAGTATGGTTTTACGCTGCTTTTAGCAATATTCCAGCAATATCGCGGCGGGGGACACCAGAAATGGGCTTCACTCATTGTACCCATGTGGAGAATCGGACCCGGGTCTTTGGCGTGACGAGCAAACGCTTTAGACACTATAGGCCACCCCGCCGCCCTCTTGGTAATATATAAAATATCGCCCAACAGAAAAGGCCAACTACATTTCATTTACGAAACGAAATAAAATGATACTACCGAAGTTGGCAAAGCATTAGTCTTGATGTGAAACAAATAATCCCACAGTAAATGTTGACTATTATACTTAGGGAACTACAGTTCAAACGATACTACTCGAAGTTGGCGAAGGATTAGCTTTACAATATCATCCAACACAATCATATTGATTGCAGCATCCCTGTACACAATGACTGGTTAACCCATATGGGATCTCAGTTCCCATGATGTGCATGATATGCTTGTAAACCTGTGTCTGGGTGTATCGTAACTGGATCCTTGAGCATCATTATCGGAGAGCTCAACAACATTTGCTATTGAGGATTGTGGCACATGAAGACGCTTTTGCCCCCAAAGACGCCATTTGACGCCGATGAAGCAGAGGCTTAGCATGCTTGAAACTGGATCAAAATACGTTACTTTTCAAACATATCTGGTGTCAGACAAAGTATGACCAACAAGGCATGGGCTCAATACCAGATGTTTGGTTCAGCTACATAGCGGCATGCATGTGGTCGACAGCGTTCCACCGCACAGCGTGACTGGGTTTAGTTTTACGCCGCACCCACCAATATTCAAGCTATGGCAGCGGTCTGTAAATGATCGAGTCTGGACCAGACAATTCAGTGATCAACAGCATGAGCATCAGTCTACGCAATTGGGATACGATGGGTGCCAGGACAGAAATACATCATCACTTCGTGACTGCTACCAAACTCAGAGATGACCTGGATGTGTCGGGCTGCTAAAGGTTGATTTCTCTATAAACGATAAGTTTACACCAGATTCAGCAATTAAATACAATTTGATGTATTACGTTGCAAAGTGGTCTTCCTTACAAACTTAGAATAGTATAGTTACCAGGTCCGACAACATCACATTTACATCTCCTTTTAAAATAGCAAGTGTTTTAAAAAAAAGATAAATGTTTAGCAAACATGATTTTTTTTTGTCTTATAACATACATTAATGTTGTGTCCATTACTCTGTTAATATTTTTACAGAGGTTTGGTCCTTGCGCCCTGTTTTTCATCTAAGGACATATTGCGTGAAACGAGTGAGTGAGTGAGTTGGGGTTTAAGCCGCTTTTAGTAACATAACAGCAATATCACGGCGGGGAACACCAGACATGTGCCTCACACATTGTACCCATCTGGGGCATCGAACGCGTTAACCACTACGCTACCCCTTAAAATTAAGTTGTAGAAGTGATGTAAGCGATAATGATCTAAAATGAGTTTCTGAAATGGAAACTGTGTTGTACGATCGACCAACGAGCTGTCAGTGACACGCCCATCAAAATGGATGACAACCAAACAACGAAATCTAGTGGATTGAAGATACAGATGAAAAGTCCACCAATCAAACAACATGGTAATAGAGACATCGAGTTCCACTCACCATTACCAGAAGGAACGGTGTCTGTATCTGAAGAAATAGTTCCCGGTCTCAAAAATAAGTCATTCGCGAAGACCTGAGTCGTTTATCAACACTTTGGGTCCCGCCCTGCCTTGTCGAGCTTGTCCACTGGAAAGACGCAAGCTACAATCACAGACTGTTACACAGGTGGTTAGATACAACCAGCCACCTGTTTCAATAATCGATCAACAGATGAAAGCTATACAACGCCCGCAAATGACATCCGAATCCTCAAATGAAAATGGCGATGATTGTAGCTGGGTCATTCAATGTCTGTTTGTGTAATGTTTCCAACTATATGACGGCGTTCTGACGATAATCGAGTCTGAACCAGACGATCCGGTGATTAAAATGATGTGCATCGATCTACGCTATTGGGATACTATGCCATGCATCAACCAAGTCAACGACCCTAGTCCTAGCCTAAATAACTAATGTGGTCGTTCAGTTCCAAGTACTGTGGGGCGGTGGGGTAGCCTAGTGGTTACAGCGTTGGCTCGTCACGCCGAAGACCCGGGTTCGATTCCCCACATGGGCACAATGTGTTAAGCCCATTTCTGGTTTCCCCGCCGTGATATTGCTGGAATATTGCTAAAAGCGGCGTAAAACTAAACTCAGTCAGTCAGCCAAGTACTGTGTATACAATTTCGTGAAAATACCAAGGTGACATGAAATATCAACGCACATATCGGTGCTGAAAATGGGATGTGTTTGTAAACGGTTGCTTTACATCATTGAAAGACTCAGCAGGGGTAACTCAAGGTTCTGTTCTCAGTCCCTTTCTATTCCTTGTATACATAAACGACTGATAATCTGATGGCACGTCTACCGGTGCATTGTCCGTCAGCACTTTAAAACCACTACCTTGTATGATGATCTATCGTTTCTCTACAACTGGGCATATAATTGCCTTGTGAAAATTTACATACATATCTTCCAGTCAGTCACACAAATGTATTTTGCATTCGTTATACCATTTACAAATGTTCACTAGATGATATAATTCATGACAGCAATATTAATGCGTGTTAATGACTATTTTTGATATTTCCATGGAAATATTGCTCCTTTTATGCATTATTTACACATTTGTCCACTGTCTATAAAATATTTGTAGGAAAGGTGTTTGGGGTTGGATTGAACTTTTGCCTGATCCATTTCATCTTTTATACCAGTGGAATATGGTTGTAAACTAAATCGAAAGCTCTCCTATAATCTACAAAAAGCACTAAAGGTTTGCATTTCTTTTTGCATAAACATTTCTGTATCGGAGCAGTGTCTGTGGTCAATAGTTGCATAATCCTGTCTAAAGACGGCTTGAGTGCTTTGCATGTTGTTCCCTTTGTTTGACCAGAGCATTACTCGTTAGCATGGTATGGTGGTATTTTACCTATGACGCCAAACTGACACATCCCACAAACTCTCCATAGAGGATTTGACTATTTATATGCTAGGTTCAGTGGAAGATAACTGACTCCGAAATTAGCTCTGCTAGGGGGTCGAAAAAACGAAGAAACGTGACTGATATTTCCCTTGTGTGTATGGTAGGTAAACGTTTGTTATTTTGTTCGCTAAACTCTCTTTGAACTGACTTTGAGTTTCATATGTGTTTCACTTTTGTATATTTATATTCTAAAACCCTCGGCCTGTTCCACAAAGCGGTCTTATTTGTGCTACGATTGCCTCAGGTCTGTTGGCGTAATGACGTGCAGATCGTCTTAGCGTTGAGGTCACTCAAAGATAATAATATTACATGTTGTTTCGAAAAATAGCATTTATACTGTACGTAGAAAGTGTAATTCCAAATATAATATTTGTAACATATGATCACTTTCTAAGAATACATTGTAAATTCATGCAAATATATTTTCATACTGTGTTATTTCAATGCAGTAAATACGTGTTTGTGTATTGTTTAACGCCGCAATCAGCAATATTCCAGCTATATGGTGGCTGGCTGTAAATAATCGAGTTTGGACCAGACAACCCAGTGATCAACAGCATAAGCATCGATAACAAACCAGTGGACTTCGATGGCATGTGTCAACCAAGTCAGCGAGCCTGTCCACCCGATCTAGTTAGTCGGTTCTAACGACGAGCGGGCTTGCTGAAGACAGCTTCTAACCCGGATCTTCACGGGTTGCAGTAAATACCTTGCTTAATAACCCTATGAAATAGTATTTAGTTATATTTACCTGAGATTTTACTCATGCCAGGTGATGTTATGACTGTCAAATGACTAGCAACGGGTAAGCATTCCTGCAGTCATTTGAAATATATGCAATCACGCCCAAATGATAGAATCTAAGCCAACCTACTTCCCCTCCATGGACGCCAAAACATAGCAAGGTCAATTATTTTTAATTAAACTCAGCAATAACTTTGCTGGTAACGTATTTCATCATTAACATATAAAATACATGAGAAAACAGTACGAAATAAATGACATCGTTCAGCGTTATAATGAGAAATCAATAAAACGGTGTTACACAAACAATTTACATTTCCGATGTGTGTAGTTCAGAGAAAGCTAAGACACATGATTATGTATATACACGTTTGGGTCGTTGGCAAATGGAAGTTGATATACCCCTTAGCTTCTTGCGCTTAAATACATTGTAAATCAGATTACCGTAAAATGGCCGTGATCATGAGTAACATACATGATCCGAGTGATCTAAGGTCAAACAGGGACTCAACGTATAGGGTCTGTGGGTCAATTCAGCTTGCATTCAGGTTCACTGTGTCACGTCAGCGGGATACGTTGACGAGGTTGGCATATTTCACAGGGATCAAAAAGATTGAACACCGGTACGTCTGCTGTTAAAGTTCTTTTTCTAACATCTGTGCGTCTAGCTGTTTGTGGTGTTATCGCGTATTTTGATACCAGGTAAGTGACAGTTTATATACATGTGTGATTTTATTACCGCTGATGTTACTATCCGAGAAATATTTGAGGGAGTTGTGAACGCTGACCTGAGGAACCGATCGAAACTTTTTAACAGTCGGTCAAGAGGTCGAGATAGGTTCAGAACTTGCATATAGCAACAAACCTTTACCCCATGAGCCGCCTAAACTAGCACCCCTTTTATTGAAGTCGTAATATTACAAGTAGAAATTGTTCTTCAACTTTTGCATGCGTACATTGCCCCGTGTGACACTGACCCAGTAAGGATTTCATCTACGTGGCGATGATGGGACTGAGCAAGCCGCGCAGGCGCGTCAGCTGCTATTTTCACCTCCCCCGACCCTCTCTTCAGCTCACCTCCCCCGCCTTCGCTTCCCTTCTTAGCTCTTGTAAATGTACATCGCAACGCAATTCCCATAATTGTGTTTGACCCCTCGGTATATTCGTAGTGACCCGACCGTCAGCATAGAGTTCATAAAGTGTGTCAATAATATATTTACACTCTGGGTGCCGTTCCACTAACCGATCTTAACTAAGATCGATCTTAGCAAGTTACGCCAATTTTACAATCGTCTTAGCTAAAAGTTACACCCGTTCCACTAACCGATCTTAGGCCGATCGTAGCCGGTCCCGATCTTACGATCCGATCCAAGCTTAGATCGAGACTCTTTCGTGCAAGAGATACAGGAATGCGAGGCACGAGTTATCTCCCTTTGCATAGTCTAGCAAATGATTGAAAGTAGTTTACGAAGTGAGTTTAGATTTACGCCGCACTCAGCAATAGTCCAGCTATATGGCGGCGGTCTGTAAATAATCTAGCTAAGATGCATAGCGTTCACTAACATGAGCGTTCATGTTAGTGAACGCTATGTATCTTAGCTATAAATAATCGAGTCTGGACCAGACAATCCAATGATCAACAGCATGAGCATCGATCTGCGCAAATGGGAACCGAAGACATGTGTCAACCAAGTCAGCGAGCCTGACCACCCGATCCCGTTAGTGGCCTCTTACGACAGGCATGGGTTATTGAAGTTTAATATTCTAACCCAGGCCTTCATGGGTATTTTTCCAACCAAGTGTAAACGTGGAGAAAAAACCTAGAGCAAAATATTAGGGTAGTGAGCACCTTGGTTTCAGGTGCAAGTGCGTGTGAACGCTGGGTATCAAGCATAATCTAATAATAATAAATGCATATTTATAGTGCGCCTATTCCACATCCTTGGGCATGCTCAAAGCGCTGTGTAAAGATAATTTACTCGAGAATATACAGCCGAGATTATAAAATTATATACAGAGAACAGGTTTTAAGTCTGACTTTAAAATCAATTGTGTCAGAGCTAATATGTGCCTTAAAATAAGAATAAACAAGGCGTATTGATTTTTGAATCCCCAACCAAATATGCTTAAATATATATGCATATTTGTATCTTTTTATTCAGAACATTGTTCACTTTACGGCTGTCCCTATTCTTAACCATGACGTTGCAATACTGTTGTACAAATGTGTTATACCGACACGCTCGGTTGTGTTCCCATGACGACAGTGGTCAGACTGGCCTGACATTTGTAAGGCTTCAGTGCAGTGTTTGTTTACATCACAGAAATATACAAATTCATTTCATGGGGAATTTAGGGACGCTCACGGTGAAATGCTCGCTCTTATTTTTCACATAGAATAGGAAAGCCACCATTTTGGTTTCTACCATTGATTTTAGCTTCCTAAGTGAATACACTTTGAAACTGACTGGGTAATTTTTAACTGAAGATATTGCAATCTGCTGTACAGTAGCATACATTTAGAGCTGTCCGTGGCTGTTTTCAGATTGGTCCAATACGACCTAGGTAGTCTAGTGGATTGGGTAGTCATGGCAGATAAGGGTAGTCTACGGTGATAATGGAATCCCGACGGCCTGGGACGTTGTTGTCTTAAGAAACACTTGTTTGTCCCACCCAGATTCGATACTTCACACTGCCATAATTCTATTTGTCAGCCCTGGGCCTAGATTTTCGAAGCTCTTTACAAACTGCGCATTTTCTAAGATAGTCGTAAGTGCCATATTTAGAGCAGTAACCAATACGCCTATCTTGGAGCATGCTGGGTGATAATGAGAGCTTCGAAAATCTAGGCCCTGAAGCCCGTTTCACAAAGCTATCGTAGCGCTACGACTGTCGTAAGTCTATGTTAAAGTATGGGAGTTACGATCACCACAGCGCTACTTTTCGATCACTTTGTGAAACGGGGTTCTTGGGCCTCCTTTCACAAAGCACTGAGGTGATCGTAAGTCACTAAGGTAACCTTAGAACAGTGTTAAAGAATGGGAGTTAAGGTTAACTTCAGTAAGGGTTGCTTCGTGAAAGGAGTCCCTGGGTTGTAGTCGTCAGACCGTAACAGAGGACCGGTTAGAGTGTTTACACAGGTTTTCCTGTCCACGAGGAGACGTTGTGCTGCAGCCCAAGGTCACACAGGTTATTTACTTGTACTGTGCCAACAGTTTTATCAGTGTGAAGTTTTACCAGTTTTATCATTCATGGAAAGTTATGCATGATTTTGCCAACAAGAGGATACCGCAATCCACTCTTCATTGCCCGTGTTGAGTGAGTTTAGGGACTGTTCATAATTTATGGCTAGGGGGTGGGGTGATTGGTGATCGTTTTTATGGAGAAGGATGAACACTGTGAATGACCCCCCCTAGAATTTATGTACAAAATAAGTGACCCCCCTTGCATGTCATGTACAAAATCAATGACCCCCACCTCCCCTTCCCATAATTTCTAAGCATAATTTTGATCATATTTTTATGTACAAAATTGCTGACCCCCTTAGTACGTGTGTACAAAATTGCTGACCTCCCCTAGCTCCCCAAAACAAAATGGGTACCCCCAAACACACACACAACCCACACACACACACTTCCTTAAACACCCACACCACCACCCCAAAACATCACCAAACAAACCTCTTCCTTAAAAAAAAACAAACCCCACCCCCAAAAAGCCATAAATTATGAACGGTCCCTTCGGTTTACGGCGCTTTTAGCAATATTCCAACAAAATCACGACGAGGGACACCAAAAATGGGCTTTGCACATTCTACCCATGTAGGGAATCGAACCCGCGCCTTCGGCGTGGCGAGCGAACGCTTTAACAACTAGCCCATCAATGTCTGTAGTGGTACCCGGATTATAGCAGTATAACGATGTACACACTACTTCCACTGTGGAATTCAATGTAACAAGTGTCAAGGTTTTAATTTGGTTGAGTATATATGGCCAGTGTACACAGGGTTTGAAAATACGTGCATATGTGATTTTCACGTAAAATACTTGACAATAATGTTAGAGATAAAAAGGTTGTTATTTTGCCAAGCTTTGCAAGAAATATCGACGACAAGTATATTTCATCATTGAACGCTTGGCATCCAGCGTGGTGCACTGTGGCATCCAGAAATACAGGGATTGGCAGTCACATCGTGCCAGTCAAACTCGTCAGGTATGGCGTTCTTTTCCAGATCATAATTCATAAATTCTATATACATTAGTGTCTGACAAAACATCGCTGGATCCTTGAGAAACTACAATATGTACATTGATAACTCTCTTGTGACAGTAGAGGATGTCGTTCGTCAAGATCCCGGATGCTGGTGGAGAGACGCTTAGACTCCTGGAAGTGGACGGCAATCTGTATCCTCCCTCTTCCGTCGAAGTCGTCAAGGGTATCCCCGACCTCACCATCAGACCGGACGACGTCTTTGTCTGCGCCTACCCTAAATGTGGTGAGCAGTGAGTGAGTGACTAAGGTTTTACGCCGCTTTTAGCAATATTCCAGCAATATCACGATGGGGGACACCAGAAATGGGCTTCACACATTGTACCCATGTGGAAATCGAACCCGGGCATTCGGTGTGACGAGCAAACGTTTTAACTACTAGGCTATCCCACCGCCCCGGTGAGTAGTTAAGAAACAGATTTTTTCTGAACTAAGAATTTGTTTAGTGGTAAAATAGGTTTATCACGCCATCATGACAAGATTCTGCTCTGATAGGATGAACCGAATAGTTTCTGTGGAAGTCAGGATATCGAGCTAGCGAGTGTGTGCTTGTGCTTGCGCGCGCTCGCGAATTCGTGTTTGTTTGCGCGTTTGTGTGTAAAAAACAGGGAAATCTTGTTTACGTTAATGAATGTTACGTTACAGTCCTTACAGTTATTATTGGAGTGCTTTAAATAATCAAACATACTGTTTCAGACATTTAACTTAAAATAGGTAAAACCATCAAACTATAAGGGGCGGTGGGGTAGCCTAGTGGTTAAAGCGTTGGCTTGTCACGCCGAAGACCCGGGTTCGAATCCCCACATGGGTACAATGTGTGCAGCCCATTTCTGGTGTGCCCCGCCGTGATGTTGCTGGAATATTGCTAAAAGCGGCGTAAAACCAAACTCAGTCAGTCAGTCAGTCAAACTATAATATGGACAGTGTTCTGAACAAACGTAAATGTTCAATCCAGTCACAAGTGGGTGAGCTGTGTTTGACCACTCTTGAGTAGCTGTGATAATTACGTGAGGAAACACATAACGCATGTCAGAAACACTTTTGAAACATCTGTGAGCTGGATAGTAACAAAAGAAGGTTCACGATCGAATCAAACTTGGATTCGAACCAGCAACAAGCACATTCTGACTCATACTGGCTGCATATCTTCGGAAAAGGGAATTTTCGTTTTATCATTGTTCAAACCTTACACCGATTGGTGAGCCGGACGGTGTTATTCCGTTATTTGGGATAAAATATAACACATGCTTAGTAAGAAAAAATTAGAAATATGTATAAGTGAGACGCTTTTGGGCAAAACTCCAGCAAAACCGAGTGAGTGAGTTTAATTTTAGCAATATTCCAGCAATATCACTGCGGGGGACACCAGAAATGGGTTTCACATACTGTACCCTTGTGGGGAAGCGAACCCGGGTCTTCGGCGAGACGAGCGAAAGTTTTGACCACTGGGCTACCCCACCGCCCATCCAGCGATATAAGGGACATAAGGAATTCGCTGCTTTCCGTGTACACAAATCGCAGCGAAAACTGGTGATGCGGCGTTATGCAATATTCACTCATCTTTCTTGTACCCACCTGATTAATCGAACCCATGACGCTCTGCATGTTTGACCATTGGAGTACCTCACCTCCTCTTGAACTATGAGTGAGTGTGAGTGAGTGAGTTTAGTTTTGCGCCGCACTCAGCAATATTCCAGCTATATGGCGGCGGTCTGTAAATAATCAAGTCTGGACCAGACAATCCAGTGATCAACATCATGAACATCGATCTGCACAATTGGGAACCGATGACATGTGTCAACCAAGTCAGCGAGCCTGACCACCTGATCCCGTTAGTCGCCTCTTACGACAAGCGTAGTCGCCTTCTGTGACAAGCATGGGTTGCTGAAGACCTATACTATCCCGGATCTTCACGGGTCCTTGAACTATGAACTAATATACGTGGTGATGTTTCAGGCACCCACTGGGTGTGGGAAATGGCCCGGCTGCTTCTCTCGGGCGAAACGGAGGCCGTTATAGAGAAGGATGAACTGATGCTAGAGTTCATCGGAAACGATGCTATACAGAAGTTTCCATCCCCGCGAATCTTAAACACACATTGTCTTGTTGAACAACTGCCGCGTGGTGTGTTTGAGAATAAGAACAAAATAATCTACATTCTTCGAAACCCCAAGGACATGGCAGTTTCGTTCTACCATCACCACAAAAAACTACCAGATTACGGATATAATGGAAAATGGGAGAATTATTTCCCCACACTGATGGACGGGAAAGGTGAGCTATATCTGAGTGAATGGATCACTGTTAGTTTTGAGTGAGTGACTGTGGTTTTACGCCGCTTATAGCAATATTCCAGCAATATCACGGCGGGGGACAGCAGAAATGGGCTTCACACATTGTCCCCATGTGTCCCCTGACCTATAAAGGGTTCGTAGCGCTACGACTTTCGAAAGCATATGTCAAACTATTGCAACTATTGGGTTACGACAGGCCGTAACGTTACGAACGCTTTGTGGATCGGATGAGTGAGTTTAGTTTCACGCAGTTTTTCGCAATATCCAGCAATATCACTGCGGGGACACCAGAAATGGGCTTCACACATTGATCTCATATGGGGAATCGAACCCATGACGGCATGACAAGCGAACGCTTTAACCACTAGGCTACCCCACCGCCCTTTATGGATCGGGGTAACAGAATATAACTTTCCCCCTCCACTAATATTACAATCTCTACTATTCAGTTGACTTCGGGTCGTTTTTCACCTACCTCAAGGACTGGGATGCGGTTGGGAGAACCCGTCCTGAATTGCCGGTGGTGACACTTGTGTATGAAGATCTGAAAGAGGTAACATTTGATTGCACCTTATCTGGAATATTCTAGCTGGGAATGGGTGACTGTTAATGCAGGGAGAGCTGAAAGGGGTGGGAGGTGAACGGGAGAGCTGAGAATGGGGTGAGGATTGGATGCTCGGGTTTGTTAGTTTGTATGTTGTTTTATGCCGCAATCAGCAATTTGCCGCGGTCTGTAAATAATCAAGTCTGGACCAGACAATCCAGTGACTGACATCATGAGCATCTACGCCATTGGGATACGGCGACATGTGTCAACCAAGTCAGCGAGCCTGACCACCCGATCCCGTTAGTCGCCTCTTACGACAAACATGGGCTGCTGAAGACCAAGATCTTCACAGGTGCGGACGTTAGGGATGTTAAACGTATGAGAATAGGATGTAAGAGCTGAATGGGGTTGGGGATGGAACGCTTGAAGGGCGAATGTGGAGGAGAATAGGATAGAATTGACAGAATATTCTGTGAAAGACACAGCAGTAGTTCGTCAATGGACATAACTCGTTAAAATGTGTCAGCATATCATAACTAGTGATAATCTTTTTCAGGACCCACTTCCCGGTATAAGAAAGCTAGCAAAGTTTCTGAATTGTGAGAAATCAGAGGAATTCTATCTCAAAATAAAAGAGTTGACGAGTTTCAACAAAATGAAGTCGGCGAAAGGCAAAATCATAAAAGCAACTGACGGCGCATCAGTCATGTACAGAAAAGGTTGGTACAGCTGCTGCGGGACTTGTGAATGAGTTAATGGCTGTTACAAACAACCCTCTTACACGGGACTGCTTTGACCTTTATGTTTTTGTAATTCCACCGCCTCCTCGTCCTCTTTATGGAGGTAACTGGTGCAGGTGCACCGAAATGCTAGCTCTTGAGATACATGGGCTACGGCCTCCTCATCAGCTGGAGGCTGATTAAGATATTACTGTTCCTTGGAATTTTTGTCCTGGTTTGTAGTTACATTTTCTAAAATGTACGCAGATAAAACCCAACCACTTCAAGAATCCATGGTAGGTCAGTCAAATGTCATTTAGTGAGTGAGTGAGTGAGTGAGTTGGGGTGTACGCCGCTTTTGGCATTATTCCAGCAATATCACGGCGGGGAACACCGGAACAGTGGGCTTCACAAATTGTACCCATGTGGAGAATTGAACCCGGCCCTTGGCGTGGCGAGCGAACGCTTTAACCACTAGGCTACCCCATCGCCCTAAATTCAACAAAAAAACCCACTTAATTGTTTATCAAGTGTAGTGCAGCAAATTGCACGTTTTGTACATCGTTCGTTTTATGGACTTTCCCCAGTGACTGGCATGTTTATTTTGATGCAACACCTGCTGAGTGTTGCCTGTGCCATGTTGCTTTATACAGCGTTGTCTGAATGCCTCTTGTTATTGCAAGAGCTAAATGCGGCAGTAGTAAGTATCCCCACTGTGGCATTCTGCCATTTTGTTTGTCAGGGAAAATTTCAAATCATTTCGTTATCTGATCGTCCAGGCTGTCTGGTTTGGTCTTCACCTTTGTAAGCCCTCGAAATGAAAACAGCATTCTGATTGGATGTCGTGCTTTCATAAGAAGGGACACAACTCATGTGCAATAGGGTACGGCGTGACGTTCGAGTGGAGGAGAGTGGGCTTGAAATGGCAAGGGTTGAACAAGGCTTATATCACGCAAATATAGAATAGTGGACGCCCTTGCCTCGGGAAGATGACATTTCGTTTAACATTATAGTTTAAGGATGTGAACTCAATTATCATATCGTTGTTGACAAGTATTTCCGTAGTGCCATTTTCAAAATCTGCACGTTAGACAGAGTCTAACCAATCATACACGTCTCATGTTTATTCAGGATGGTCAGTTAAATGTTACATTTGTCCTGTCTAAATACCGTGATTCCATTTTCCGTAAACATGGACGAAAGCTCTGTGTTATATTTCTTAATGTGTTTAGACGGCATTTCTTAGTTAACGCACCTGTATGAAACCAGATACCATATAATAGATTATTATATGGACTCTGATGAAACTAATTTTGTGAAAGAGCAAGAAACAATTGAATCATTGATCCTTAATGATACGAGCTTTTTCCCACCATCGATAGACTTGGTCCCAGTAGCCAGTTCCTGCAGGCACCGACTAAATATAGGCAGCGATGCTTTGCTCAAAATATGAATCACTGATGGGTCTGGTCGAAACCAATGTTTCGGGTAACATGTAGCCTTGCTCAAAGGCTGTACTGAATGCTAAACCATATGGATGTATAGTATTTCTATCCTTTAAAGAGGAAAGTGTAGATAAGGACGCCTGTTAGAAGTACAATGTGTTCTGTTTAATCACATTTTGTAAAATTATCATTTGAACTAATTTTACCTACCTTGTGAAAGTCTAGGTAGGTAACAAGTATATGGTTTGTGAGGTTGTGTCTCTTTAATTTCAAATTCTGTAACAATGTTGGACTCAGGTGCTTTATGTAGGTCATGTTAGTTGAAAATTTGTACAGGTGATAACGGCGAACGAACCGATACGATAAGATCCGGAAGTATCCGATTTGTTTTTCTCGAATGGTAGATATGGCTTTCCTGACGACTGTTTCCATCTGTGGTAAACCCCTGGGTCGTAAGTGAAACTATTGGGTGGACGGCTTACTGAAACTAAAGTATTTCACCTTAATTACAAGTAGTCGTCACATAGCTGGGATATTGCTGGAATATGATTTATCAAAGAATGTGTTCCTTTTGGAAGTCGTGAGATCCCATGATTGCTATCTTTTTCGTGTTTCAGGTGAAGTTGGCGACTGGAAAAATCATTTCACTGTGGCCCAGAATGAGCTATTTGACAGGACATACAAGGAGAAAATGGCTGATTGCGACATAAAGTTCCGATACACGTTGTAGTACGGACGTAAGGAAAACACAACCATGGGTAAAACAAATGCACACTTATTTACACGAGAACTTGAAACGAATGACAGCAGATTACTAAAGAATTAAACTGAATTAATTACGTAAAGGTATACATGTACTGTATTTTTATAATTAATTTAAATCAATACGACTGATTGTGCTTATCCAAGTATTCGGGATTTTACTGGTTTACCTATCAAACACTTTTGTACATATTTTTATACAGCTTGTTTTCGGAATTTGAGATTTTATTGAATTACAATGTCCACGAGTTTATACCTTGTTTAGCCTATTTTCAACGTATATTTGTTGGCTTGTATATACCGGTACCATATGTGCATGCGTACGTGCATTGCGTGCATTGCGTGCATTGATTGAATAAATAGGACCGTGTGCTTGTAACACACGTTATATTTGGGATTACTCTTTCTAAGCAAAGTACAGATTCTTGTACTGAGTCCCACGAGAGATTCGAACCCACACCCTCAGAGTCAGGCACCTAGTCGCCATCACACAAAATTAACCGTCTAACCCACTCAGCCATCGCTGTTTCGACAAAAATGGAAGTCGGACAACTGGTAGTCTAGTACTAGAGGTGAGGTGAGGTGAAATTGGGTTTAACGTCGTGCTTGAGAATATTTCGCTCATATGACGACGTGCATGCGTGTGTATGCGTATGTGCGGCTGCTTGTACTAGCCCAGACTGAAGCTGGTTTTATAGTGCTAGCCCACTGAGATACCATGCCGCAGTGAAGAATGAATACCCCACTCAGACACATTATACTGACTCCGAGCTGACCAGTCCTTGTTGTACCCATTAATGCCGAGCGCCAGACAGGGACCAACAAGTACCATATTTTAACATCTTTTGGTATGACGCGGTCGGGGATCGATCCCGCGACCTTCCGCACTCCGGGCGGACGCTCTAACCACTACACCACGGAGGCGGTCTCTAGTACTAGATTCTGTACTTTACTGAGAAACCGTAATCCCAAATATAACATGCGTTAAATTTGACCACTTTCTAAATGACATTGTGTATTCATGACCATGAGTTTATATGGATATATGGTATTGTACACATGAAGCTTATTCTCGTGCGTATGATGTGTGCATGTGTATATATGCATATGTGAACATGGCGTTATGAATGTGGATGTAAGTATTCTGGTACTGAAATAAGGGGTACATGTGGATACGTTCTTGCTCATGTCTAGTGGAGGTCAGAGTGATTCCTCTGTATCACATGCTTTGGCTTGAAGGAGAATATATATAGGGACGGACAAAAACATGTACCCATATTTGGTGGTGGCTGAAATTGAAACAAGCTAAAAATGGTTATTCATGGGGATGTAATAAATACAGACATTAGAGTTGCGTTTTGACCTCAATTTTGTACCAATTTTCGCAGTGTTTTTGCTATTTTATTCAGCTTAGTTGCGTTTTACTAACGTTTGGAATCCTTTGGTGAAATCCAGTCGACAAGTGTATGTTTTCTTTTATCACAGCTGTTAGACGGACACACAGGCCCTCGTGTCTTTGCGAGGATTAATGATTAAAAATATTGTTTTTGAGATGACCCCCGACTCGAAATGCTTCACAGTACAATACATCATAATGTATTATACTGTGAAGCATTTCGAGTCGGGGATCATCTCAAATTTTGTATATATTTTATAAAATCTCTAATCCTCGCAAAGACACGAGGGCCTGTGGACGGACATACCGGTAGTGTAATTATCAAAATGGGATTTTGACGGTAGAGGATTTTTTAAAAAGGTTCTGAAGAAATCACCTTTGGTTAAGACTACTGGTTGTGTTATATTATGAGCAAATATTCGAATGGCTTGAGAATACTTTGTCATAAATAATATTCTCATTTTCAGTATAACAAGGCACTTGCTCTTAGCTGCCTTATAGTTTCAGTTCTCCTCTGAAACTGTAGCTCTACACTAGAAATGGCATGAGGACCAAGTACCAGGTTAATTGAATAATGGAATGTCAGTAGAATGATAGAAAGTTAGTAGAATGATAGACTGTGAGTGAGTGAGTATGGTTTTACGTCGCTTTTAGAAATATCACGGCGGGGGACACCAGAATGGGCTTGACACATTGTACCCATGTGGGGAATCGAACCCAGGTCTTCGGCGTTAACCACGAGGCTACCCCACCACCCTAGAAAGTCAGTAGATGTTTTTAAACTCCAATGTCAGTAAGTATGTTTCAGACAGTACTTAATATTATATAAATATCGCTAAGATATTAATGCTTTATCAACCAGGTTATATACTACTTATTATATAAGTAACTCCATATTGTCCAGCTAATTAAACTCTGTGCCTGAAAGGAATCAATCAAACTCGTAAATATAACCGAAGCAGGAAATAAACAACAATATAAAAGCCAAGGAAAGTAGTATAATGGTTTTTAATGTCTGGTCCTTACCTCTGCTAATTACCTTTCTGACGTAAATTTATAACTGATTATATGTCTGATGGAGTACCTTACTTGCGTCAGTTGCGACTGCGACAGACCGTCTCCCAGACCATAATACATTGATAAGGAGTCCAAGTCTAGAATGACTGGGCAAGTCTAGAGAGCCTAACCTGTAGGGTTGTTCTGGGCTCTTTTTTTATTTCATTTAATTCAATTTAGATATATATTTATCAATGAGATATTTTTATCTCCTGGACTAAATATTTGCTTATGACGTTGACTGGTGCACTGTACTGCCCTTATTAAGAACCCCATTAGATCCAGGGCCAGAGTAGGCCCCCACAGATCGTTCATGGAGATCCCCAGAGCCGTGTTAGATAATGATTGGCCAGACAGGTTGCGTTGTTAGACTGACGACGTATTGTATCCCTCGACATTAGTTGTTGTTCATGCTGTTAACCACTGGTTTGCTTGGACCGGGTTCGATTATTGGCATGTTCTCATGACATAGATTAAATATTGATGGGTGCGGCGTTACACTTCATTCGCTCAAACATCTTGAGAATATGAGTGTGATGGAATTTTAGTTTTACACCGCTTTTAGCAATATTCCAGCAATATCAGCAGAAATGGGCTTCACACATTGTAGGCCTACCCATGTGGGGAATCGAACCCGGGCCTTCTTCGTGACGAGCAAATGCTTTAACCACAAGGCTACCCCGCCAACCCTTTTTGAGAATGTGCAACGTATTTAGTCTATGATAAATGATTTTGTTGACAGGTGCTCTTGTGTCTTTCACGTATTTGACCAGTTTGTTTCATTTTATGATATATTTTCCTTGTATTATTACAGAAACATCCATGATTGTGTTACAATGTCATGTTGGCAATATTCCTGACGACTTTATATTTGACAGGACCAATCTGTGTCATTTATCCAGTATGCTTTAACATGTCAGTATGTCAATAAAATCAAAACTTTAATTGTGTTGATGTTCATTTCTGTCGCACAATACCCGTGCGCACACCGATAGAGTAAGGGAATGGGTGCCGATAGAGTAAGGGAATGGGTGCCGATAGAGTAAGGGAATGGGTGCCGATTTTCGCTGCAGATAGATACATATTCTGGCTATATCATGACAGATGACACCAGAAATGGGCTTCACAGAATGTGAAGGAAATCGAACCCGAGTCTTAGGCGTGAAGAGCAAGCCCTTTCACCACTGGGCTATCCCACCTCATCGTACATCGTGTGAAGGCCTATTACACACATGCTTAAGCACGCCCATGCGAGTGAGTGAGTGTGTTTAGTTTTACGCCGCATTTAGAAATATTCCATCAATATCATGACAGGGGACGCCAGAAATGGGCTTCATATATTGTACCCATGTGGGGAATCGAACCCGAGCTAACGCTTTAACCAACAGACTAACCCACCGCCCCACTCCCACGTGAACCTTGACAAGCACATAGAACAAATCTCAATATTACACAGCCCGATTTGGAATAAAGGGGGGAAATAACAAGGGGGTCAACATCCCGCATTCAGATCATGATATTCAGTTCATTATATTTCTTTAACGCAGAAAATGAAATATATTTCGAAAATAATAATTATTATGTTAAATACGCGTACGCCTATCAAAGTCGCCATCAAATGTCAGCTACATACAACACGATGAACTGAGGGTTAGCGGAAGAATGTGGATCTAGTGATATGATTGTATATGTTTGAGTTATCATAAGAACTGAAACTTATAAATAGAACAGGAAACTATAGTCCATAGACATCTGGTAAAATTTGTTCCGGAAATATTCAACGATTTTCTGCTCTCGAAACAAACTCTGAACACATTTGAAATTTGTTGTCAAGGAAAGGGCAAAAAGACACCTGTCACAACTAGACTGTCGTGTTCGAAAAATCTGGTCGAGAGGCTTTGAGCGGTCTTTTGAGTCAAGTTACGGAGGGAAAACGGAGTGACACGTTATGATTTTACTAACGATTCAAGCAGCATCGAGTATGTGTTTTAGATTACGTGTGGGTGTGTGAGTTTAATTTTACGCCGCACTCAGCACCATTCCAGCTATATGGCGGCGGTCTGTAAATAATCGAGTCTCCATCTACGCAACTGGGATACGATGGTATGTCAACCAAGTCGGCGAGCCTGACCACCCGATCCCGTTAGTCGCCTCTTACTACAAGCAGGGGCTACTGAAGATCAATTCTAACCCGGATCTTCACGGGTGTGTTATAGGATGTGTTTAATTAAATCATTATAAATAAATCTGTAGGTAATTTTGACATACATCAACCACTCAAAGAGGAAAATACAGACGCAGTATTGAATGTTGACACACACTGAGTCTTAGTACTATATAAAAGTGTCACTGACGGGGTCTTAGTACTATATAAAAGTGCTTTTATATAGTACTGAGACCCCGTCACTGACAGTATATGCCTTGATGGCAGTTTTTTAGCGTTACAAACCCCTGTGTGAAGTATGTGGTGAAACAATTCTAAAAAATGAAGCATTTCAACTTGTAGTTTCAGAAAGTAAAATGAAAACGAAATGAACGGATTTTCCAAGTTATCGAGCTACATGTATAAGAAGTTTACTGAAACGTGATTTTTGCTTAATGACGGGTACACTTGTGGCTCGTCTTTGATCGTAGCGACCGCCTCCGTGGTGTTGTGGTTAGAGCGTCCGCCCGGAGAGCGGAAGGTCGCGGGTTCGATCCCCGACGGCGTCATACCAAACGACGTTAAAATATGGTACTTGTTGGTTCCTGCCTGGCGCTCGGCATTAATGGGTACAACAAGGACTGGTCGGCTCGGGAGTCAGTATAATGTGTCTGCGTGGGGTATTCATGCATCACTGCGGCATGGTATCTCAGTGAGCTAGCACTATAAAACCAGCTTCAGTCTGGGCTAGTGCAAGCAGCCGCACATACACATACGCATGCACGTCGTCATATGAGCGAAATATTCTCAAGCACGACGTTAAACCCAATTTCACCTCACCTTTGATCGTAGCACGTGCATATCTAAAATAAATGCACAGCGCACCCGAATGGTCAAAATA